GACAAGCATTTAAAGATACATATTGTTTTGCAATAATGGTCTGTTGGAATTAAGCTGTGGCTTAGAGTGATGGGTTTCAAACTGTTCTACAGAACCCCAGGTTTGATGGAAGTTTAGGGGTGGTATGAGGAATAGGGTAGGGAAAAGCTATGCAGGTGGGGCTCAACACTGGGCTTCCCTCCTGCGGGCTAATCAGAGTGGTTTCAAGTTTATAGGTTTTATATATGAAGTTGCTAGTGACAGTCTGTCTCTAAGATTCGTTTTAAAAAGGATTTTGCTGTACAAAATGGTTTGAAAATGACCCTTAGGTGCTTAGATAAGACACTTTTAGAAATGAAATGATTATCTCAAGTTACTTGCAATTATTAAACTGTTACTTCACTATCCTAAGTTAATGACACGAAGGAATTACGTACTTTTTAAAGTCCTTAGCTGATTAGTTAATTGGATCTTTCACCTTCTTAAACACTTAATCATAAAAGGATATATAAAGAAAGTCCATTTCAGTTTAACATGGCTTAGGACATGAAAAATACCTAGTTTAAAAAAGAATAAATCATCAATCCCCTTTGTATAGGTAATTATCATGTTAGATTGAGAATACCTTATTAAATTAGATGTGAAAACTAAAGTATATTAATTGAACTGTGATCCTTAAGAACATCTTGATTGGTATTATTACCTAATGTGTAATTTAACATAGGGTGATGGCTTAATAGGAACAAAGAGAATATTAAGATTACAAAAGCATCAAGTTTCTCGTAGCATCCATTAGGAGTTTAATAGTTTGTTTGAATTTCTTAGGTTCTAGATTTAAGAAAATTGCTTACCCATTGGGATTGGCCACTTTAGGAGCAACTGTTTGTTACCCAGTTCAGTCCGTAATAATTGCAAAGGTAAGTTGATTTTAAGTGAAAGCTGCATTTCAGTATTTGTTTAAACTATTGGTATCATCATATTTAAATGTCATACAGTATCTAGAACATTTAATTTTCAGCAAAATATATTTAGTGTCATCTCTTATATTGGCAAAATCACATTAGCATCTCAGCATGGCAATGCCATTCCTAACTATATGATCATCACAAATAAATAGGATGAATTTGTTTCAATATAATTCATCATTATAAAGGCTGTGTGATGATTAAGTTCAGAGACACTGAATTAAAATTTATGGGGATAGCCCAACCAGTTATAGCTCAGTGACTGAGCATCGACCTGTGAACCAGGAGGTCACAGTTTGATTCCTGGTCAGGGTACATGCCAGGGTTGCAGGCTCAATCCCCAGTAGGGGGCTTGTAGGAGGCAGCCAATCAATGATTCTCTCCCATCATTGAAGTTTCTATCTCTTTCTCCCTCTCCCTTCCTCTCTGAAGTCAATAAAAATATTTTTTTTAAAGAATTTACGGGGATAAATACCATTCTATTGTAGAGTTATGTAAAATTCAAATAACAGAAAATTATACCTGCTGGCAGCTGTCATTTGGACAGATTAACATAATGTAAGAAACAGCCATTTGTTAGGTACCCAGACAAGATAACAGAGGCTTCTGAAAGTGGAAAAAAAAATACAGACACATATACAAACTCAATTTTGAAACCATCTGGAACTAAGTAACATTTCCCATGAAAATCCATATTATGGTTGTTTTGTCATTTTCATGTTAGTTTATCTGCAAATCCAAATATTTTCCTAGTAATTTTAAGAACGTGTTTCAGTATTTTATTTTGTTTTTAACACAGATTCTGAGTGAGGAGAGCTTTATAATATGCAGTCTTTTCTTCCTTTCCTTCTTCTCTTAATTACCAATATTTAAAATATCCCCTCACACTTGAAGCAGTATATAGTGCTACCAAAAGGACTTTCTGTACTTATCATTATGGAAACTCTTCAATTATTTTATGTAAATAAAACTGTGTATTCAGTACTTTAGAATGTCAAGGATATAGCACCCTCTGTAGCTTGTAATATAATTAAATTATAAAGCATATAGCAAACAAACAGAACATTATTCATTAAAACTTGATATACTTGAGATAATTGATGAATAAAATGATACATTTATTTTTTAAAAATATTTCCTAAAATTGATGAAGGAATTAACCACTTCAATTCATGTAATATTAGTACAGAAAGCAACCTTTGAGCTCATTACATTCAACTTTCTCAGTCAACAGTAAGGAAACTGTAGTCCAGAAAAATTTCACGGTATCTATCTAATTTGTCTAGGGCTCTATTCAGCTTCAGGTATTGTATTTTCATGTCCATTTCTCTTCCCAGTGCATGATACTGCCACTGATTCTTTTTGTTTGTTTACAGTAATCATATCGTGGGTTTATCAAATAAAATTGATACGTACTCATCCTTAAATAATTTCAACATTACAAAAAAATGTGTAGGAGAAAACAAACTAACCCCGTGAAATTATTCCATTCAGAAAAACTATCAGTGTTAAAATTTGATAGAATGTTATTCTAGTCATATATTCATGCCTGCATAGAGAGAGAAAAATAGGTGGGTGAATAGGCAGATATGATGTTATAAGAACAAGATCATAGTATACATAGTATGCATTTTATTTTGAATTAAATAAATAAAGTATTAAATTCCATTTACTTTGACAGATGGAAATAAAAAGAAAAGAATTGCTTATCTTTAAATAAAGATTTATATGTTAAAAGTTATTAATATGAATTCCTAAAAGTTCTTTTGAGATTAAATAATAATTGTTACTTAAATTTCTAGAGTTTGGACCCTTGCTTTCTTTTAACTCTCATATAACAATGTCATATGTAACATTTGGCGAATTCTAATATATATATATATATATATTAGATATATATTAGATATTAGATGTGAATATATATTTGTTTACATTAGATATAAATGTATATATCTATAACATGGGTTCTTTTTTAAGTGTTTTTCTTTATTGATTAAGGTATTACATATGTGTCATTATCCCCCCATTTCCCCCAGACACCCCCACTCATGCTCTCACCCCCGTGGTGTCTGTGTCCATTGGTTAGGCTCATATGCATGCATACAAGTCCTTTGGTTGATCTCTCCCTCTTACCCCCGCCCTCCCCTACCTTCCCTCTGAGGTTTGAGGGTCTGATCTATGCTTCTCTGTCTCTGGATCTGTTTTTGTTCATCAGTTTATGTTGTTCATTATATTCCATAAATGAGTGAGATCATGTGATATTTATCTTTCTCCAGCTTATTTCGATTAGCATAATGCTCTACAGTTCCATCCATGCTGTTGCAAATGGTAAGAATTCCTTCATTTTTAAAGCAGCATAGTATTCCATTATGTAGATGTACCACAGTTTTTTAAGCTACTCATCTGCTGATGGGCACTTAGGCAGTTTCCAAATCTTAGCTATGGTAAATTGTGCTGCTATGAACATAGGGGTGCATATATCCTTTCTGATTGGTGTTTCTAGTTTCTTGAGATATATTCCTATAAGTGGGATCACTGGGTCAAATGAAGTTCCATTTTTAGTTTTTTGAGGAAACTCCATACTGTTCTCCACAGTGGCTGCACCAGTCTGCATTCCCACCAGCAGTGCACAAGGGTTCCTTTTTCTCCGCCTCATCACCAGCACTTGTCATTTGTTGATGATAGCCATTCTGACAGGTGTGAGATGTTACCGCATTTTCGTTTTGATTTGCATCTGTCGGATGATTAGTGACTTTGAGCATGTTTTCATATGTCTCTTGGCCTTCTGTATGTCCTCTTTCAAAAAGTATTTATTTAAGTTCATGCCCATTTTTTTATTGGGTTGTTTATCTTCCTTTTGTTAAGTTGTATGAGTTCCCTGTAAATGTTGGAGATTAAACCTACCAGACCGCTGTACCGATTTTTAGGTAATTTCCACACAAAGGTAGAATATTGGCACTAGATGAAAGGTAGACCTATTTTCTACAATGTCTCCAAGTTCCATCTTATTCTAACCACTTGTTTGCATGTAACTAACATTTTTCTACATCATGTTGGTTTTTTCTCTTTAATACTCAGGAGCCCAGGTATAGGGGACAGTTAGGTTCAGGGCCTCAGGTCTGGTAGACTTAAACCCTTATTGGAGATAACATTGGCAAATGTGTTCTCCCATGCAGTGGGCTTTCTTGTTGTTTTGTTGATGGTTTCTTTCACTGTACAGAAGCTTTTTACTTTGATGTAGTCCCATTTGTTTATTTCCTCTTTAGTTTCCATTGCCCTAGGAGCTGTATCGATGAAGATATTGCTTCGGCATATGTCTGAGATTTTGCTGCCTGTGGATTGCTCTAACATTTTTATGGTTTCTCGTATTACATTTAAGTCCTTTATCCATTTTGAGTTTATTTTTGTGTATGGTGTAAGTTGGTGGTCTAGTTTCATTTTTTTTCTTGTGCCTGACCAAATTTCCCAGCACCATTTATTGAAGAGACAGTTTTGACTCCATTGTATGTTCTTGCCTCCTTTGTCGAATATTAATTGAGCATCGTGGTTTGGGTCAATTTCTGGGTTCTCTATTCTATTCCATTGGTCTATATGTCTGTTCTTGTGCCAGTACCAGGAAGTTTGAGGAGAGTGGCTTTGTAATATATCTTGATATCTGGTATTGAGATCCCTCCTACTTTGTTCATCTTTCTCAAGATTGCTGCAGCTATTCGAGGTCTTCTTCTACTCCAGATGGATTTTTGGAGAGTTCGTTCTAGGTCTGTGAAATATGCTGTTGGTATTTTAATGGGGAGTCCATCAAATCTAGATTGCTTTGGATAGTATGGACATTTTAAGGATGTTGATTCTACCAATCTATGAACATGGTATGTTCTTCCATCTGTTTATGTCTTCCTCTATCTCTTTTTTCAGTGTCCTGTAGTTTTCCGAGTACAGGTCTTTTACCTCCTTAGTTTATTCCTAAGTATCTTAGTTTTTTTGGTGCGATGGTAAATGGGATTGTTTTTTTTAGTCTCTCTTTCTGTAACTTCACTATTTGTGTATAAAAATGCCATAGATTTCTTGGCATTGATGTTGTATCCTGCTCAATGCCAAATTCATTTATTAAGTCTAATAATTTTTTATGGATTCTTTAGGGTTTTCCATGTACAGTATAATGTCATCTGCAAATAATGACAGTTTTGCATTTTCTTTTCCACTTTGGATACATTTTATTTCTTCTTGTTGTCTAATTGCTATGGCTATCACTTTCATTACTATTTCAAACAGGAGTGGTGAAAGTGGGTGCTGGGGTCCAACCCCAGCAGGTCCAGGGATCCCCAAAGGTGTGGACGGAGTCGGCGAAGAATGAATGACATGGAAACTGGTTTCAGTTCATCAGCATAGCGAGGTTCTCCCTTCAGGATCTCCAGCGAAGTTCTGGTTAGGAACTCCAGCGAAGTTCTGGTCAGGATCTCCAACCAAGTTCTGGTGCCATGTTCTCTCGCTAGGTTCTCCAGCCAGGTTCTGTTGCCAGGTTCTGTAGCCAGGTCCTATCCAGGTTCTCCCGCCATGTTCTGTCTAGGTTCTCCAGCCAAGTTCTGTAGCCAGGTTCTGTCCAGGATCTTTTGCCATGTTCTCTGGCTAGGTTCTGGTTAGGATCTGATGAGGAGCTGATGAGGAGCTGATGAGGAGCTGATGAGGAACTGATGATGATCTGATGTTTATTGTCTTGTTACATCCGTATTTATACCAGCCGATTTTAATCCTGTCAATTTCTATTACAAAGGTTAGGGCGTTTCTTATCTCCATTCCAGGGAGTAAAGATTATGTAGCTTAACTACCTGCCTGGCACTTAATTAAGGGGTTGTATCCCCTCCCTAACCTCAGGGAAAAATCCCCACCTGGGGAAACAACCTTTCTCGGAGAGGTGACCTTGGTTAAGACACATGGCGCTAAAGAGAGCAAACATA